GCCCACCACTATTGTTCCTTCTCATGGTAGTCCTGTTACATAATATCTACCCAATTTGTTTCTATGCACAGGTAGCTTTCTACCTGAATCGATGTGGTTCTTGAGATCCAACAGCAAATTTCATATGCAAATACTTTTGGTCCCTGATTTTCAGATAGAATAGCAACAGTTTGGATAATGTGAGGCTTATTTTTTAAAATAAAATCCAAATCTAGTAGTTATCGAGTTCAGATAATGAACATCTGGCTAGTGAGGGTGCCTGTAGTATCTGCCCACTTGTTTCACTTGCCTTCTTCTCTATGCCTTCACACACGCTGAAGCTCCCTTAGGACTATCTTTGTTGTTACTGTTGTCACTGTTTTGTTTTTCCTCCATTGCAACCTTAGTATCTTGCATGATGCATGGCATGGTAGGCACTCAGTAATCATTTATGAAATGAATGAATGAATGAATGAATGATTCTGTCGACTGAATGGGGCCACAGAAACACAGTGAGAAGGGCAACTCCCTCAAACTAGGCAGGTCAGGAAAGCATTCCTGCAGGTGTTGAGGCCTGACCCTAGTAGCACACTGGTGGGGTTATTCAGGTAAGAATGTAGGGAAAGGCATTTTGGGTAGAAGGAACAGCATGAGCAGAGGCCTGGAGGCCTGAAACAGAAAGAGCACTGGGGAAAAGCCAGTCGTTTAAGGTGGGGCTGCCTACCACTCCTAATTTTTAGTGTAAACCAGTGTTTCACAACCTTGTTTCCATCATCACCCCTCTAGGGAGCCTTTCCAGACATTCTTTTCCTAATTTCCCCTCTTCATGACACTTTAACAATATAGATATATAGTGCATGTTGTTTATGTCCTGAATGTGTATCTGTGCTTTATGCATTGAGTCAGATTTTTTGCCTCTCAAAAACCAAATTTTGTCCTCTAAGTGATGTTGTCCCATGGAGGATGCATGGTGTAACACAAGCTGAGGCCCTTGTCCTTGTAGGAGCTCATGACCCGCACCCCCCTACCTCCTGGTCCTTCCCTTCCTCTCCAGCATGGGGCACCACCCAGGCACCCCCAGGAAGCAGGTCTCTTGGCAGCCATCTCAGTCCTGCTTTTAATTTTTCAGCTATCATTGAAAAGAAGACCAATGACATGCTGCTGTTAGAGTCCTACAGGCGGATCCTGGATGCAGAAAAGGTGGAGGCCGAGGTCCCGCCACCCTTCATCAACCCTTTCTGGGGTGGCTCTGCCCTTCTCAAGCCCACAGAATCTATCAAGGTGATCCCCCCGGTGCTTGGATCCGACCCCTTCAGCGACAGGTTGGATGATGGTGAGTTCTTTCTCTCCTCATCTGCACAGGTCACTGGGTGGGGGTTTCCTAGGAAACCTGTGCCTTCAGTGTCGGGGTTGCTGTGTCCAGGTGCCCGAGAGGGTCTGCAGTATTGTACCTCAGTTTCCCTCTTTATGAGCCCTCACGGGCCGTCAGTTCCATTGGGTACCATCTTGGCTGTGGCCGCTTGACATTATTTGCTTGGGGACTCTTCTGCTTCTGACACAAGGGTGATCTAGCCACAGATGCCAAAGTTCAGTTATCCTGGAAATGTTTTTAAATCACAAAATGTCTAAATTTTACAAATTGGCAAGTTATGGGTACACAAGTGTCCCAGATCCTCTCACCCTCACCCTGTGCTCTTGGGTCTTGCTCCACCTGTGGCCTCCCTTTCCCTGACCCCTGCTGTGTCTGGGACCCCCATCCTTGGCCCCTCACCATCTGTGTCCCCCAAGCCTTTGGTTGAAGAAGACTTGACTTGGCTCATGCCAGAAGCAAGAAGCTTAACTGTGGCCCTTCTGCACCAGCCCATTGATCTTCCTTCCTTTCCAAGGCAGAAGCTCACATGTCCCTCTGTCCGGGGGAGCCAGCCCTTCTCTCTGAAGGTGGGAATCAAATTGGCCCCACCTGCTTTTTGGAGAGCAGTTTGGCAACACATGTGGCAATTGACCTTCATGAAAAACTTATTCAAAGGTGGAAGATGAAAGTGGGAGGGGGGGAGTTCACTGCAGCCTCAGACTATAAACAAGTGAAATGCCCACCCATTAGAGACTGGCTAAGTAAGTTACATTCCACCCATCCATGCAATGGATTACTGTGTAGCCTCTGAAAGAATGCACTGGGCCATTGTGAGCTGACATGGGAAGATGCCCTTGATATTGTCAAGATTAAAAGAAATGCACAATGGTATGTATCGTATAATACCATCTTTCTAAAAAACATACTATACATATGCATGCAGTACACACACACACACACACACACACAGACACGTACACGCACGCATAGCTCCTGTTTGATGTAGCCAGGGTGACTGAAACTTAGCAGGAGTGAAAGCTGGGTCAGGTGTCACCCACCTTAGCACAACTACTTTAGCCCTTCGAGTTCCTGGGGGCCGGGAGGAGAGGGCACATCTGCTGGTAACATTGTCTTCACTAAGTCAGGAACTTACAGACAATGTCTTCACTTCTCTTCAAAGGAATGTGATAAACATTGGGTTCTCCTGGCGCACTAGCCCTGTAGGTGTGGATTGGAAGAGGTGCCGTTTCTGGGTAGATTAATTAGGAAAAACTGCCCTCTCTGGGTAGAGATGGCTTGGCAATCAAGTGGGGGCTGGGTTTCAGCTCTCCCATTCACCTCTCTCCTTCAGGAGTTTTTGTGCGGTACACATCCTGAACAACTGAACATGGTGGCCCTGTCTCCTTTATATTAAACCAAATATCCTTCACATCTTGTCTGGGTGAAAAAACAGTCATTGTCTGGGCATCCCTGAGAACTATATTTCTGCCTATTCTCCCCTTCCTGAGCCCTAAGAATTTTCATACTCTACTCCTGAGCACTGTAGAGGGACCTGAAACCAGGCTTGAGCATTCTTGCCTTGGATAGTCATGAACAGGGCAGAGAGACACTGTGCCTGGGAAGGAAGCCCCTGGTGCTGGGTTTGATTTCCAAACTTCTCACACAAATCTCATCTTTGGTGCAGTTGAACAGCCGCTGGACCATAGCAGCCTTCGGCAGCTGGTGCTCGACAATTATGTTTTGAGGGAGACTCGAAATAAGGGTTCACACTCGGACAGTATACCTGAAAAGGGGGATGATCTGAGGTCCAAGAAGAAGTTAGTGGTCTGACGTGGACAGGGCGGCATTTGTACTATAACTAAAAAGAATAAATGTTTTGTTCTGTAACCTCAGTGCCTTTTCACACTCATTGCTAAGACACTTGAAGTGCTGGGAGCCACCCCTGAGATGGGGCAGAGGAGCAAGAAGGGTCGGGTTCAAAAGCTGGCACAGGAGGCAAGAATTGTGTGAGGTCAGCATGGCCCCTGAGGACCTCTGAGCTGGTGACCAGTACAGGTCATCCCTCACCAAGGTCCACCGGATGAAGCAGGGACGAGTGATGTGTAGGGGTCACATTGGAACCAAAATATTGATCTTGAGACCCCAAAACCTCATGGGGTGTGGCAAACACTTATGAGCAGGATCTAGGAGCCACAGAGGCTGTGTGTCTGTTTCTCTGTGTGTGTGTCTGTGCGGAACCAAAATATTGATCTTGAGACCCCAAAACCTCATGGGGTGTGGCAAACATTTATGAGCAGGATCTAGGAGCCACAGAGGCTGTGTGTCTGTTTCTCTGTGTGTGTGTCTGTGTGTCTCTATGTATATATACCTGTGTGTGTCTCTGTACTTTTGTGTGTATGTCCGCATGTGTCTCTCATAGGCGAGTGCATCACTGCAGAGCTGAGTCCAGGGCATCTTGCCCTGAAGCACATGCTGCACTTAATGAGTGACCCGAGTCAGGCCTCCCTGCTGCCTGACCACATCAGTCCAGGAGCCCCGGGGATCAGTTTCGTGGCCTGGACTGTCTCTGGAGTGAATGGGAGGCTGTGAGGGGTGTGGCACATTGCAGGGTGTGGATGGCCCACAGGTCATTGGGTCCCTGCCCACCCAGCTTGCTGTCAGCTTTGAAAGGAGCTCCAGTTCCCGGCAGCCAGGGAGTGATTTCAGTGGTCGTGTGGATGGGCCTGACCCCGAGCTCCTCCTGGGGGTGGCACTGTTGTTATTCTTGAGCCATGAGGACTCGCCCCCGTCCTGGCTCCTGCAGCCTCCTGGACCCCGCCATTCCCTCTACAGGAGCCAGCTCCACTCCCACATCCAATTTCAGTTCTCAGTTCCCATTGCATCATTCACTTTTGCTGTGTCCTGGGTACTTGGGTTCTTGGGATTCTCTTGAAAGCTTAGAGTGCCTGACATCCACTCCCCCCCTTTTCTCCAGTCTCCTTTGGGGAATACCCCTACCATTTGCAGGCCATGTTGCTCAGGAGTCTCTTATGACTGAGTGTGATTTTTTCCAAATGAGCCATATTCTTAGCATGTGTGGAAGGTCTCCTCCTCTTCATCATTATGGGGCCATCTTAGCATTTCTATGGGAGAAACATTCTGATGACATCCTAAAGAAGAGGATGCCATGGAAACTAGGCTCTGTAAATGCTTGAGCTCTTCAAAAGTAAGGGCTGTGGTCATTCAGTTAACATTCCAGTAAAATGTGGCCCTTGATATATACAGTCCTGAGTGGCTGAAAGGTCTGTCTTAAGTAAAAAGTCACTAAGATTCAATAATAATGACAGCAGGGCCATCGATAGCTCTTACACTGCCTTTGTGAAAATTAGTAAATGGCCTTCCTTACTGAAGGCACTTCTATCTGTCAGAGGAATGTCATGACCAAATACACGACCTCCTGTTTATTTGAACACAGCCTCCAGACAGATTTCCACCTGTAGGATGTGTGGCCACAGGTATCTCTAAGCCACCTAGGCTGCAAAGAAAATGGAGGTGGATAAATGAGGAAGCCACATGATTAACAGGCCAGGGGCAGGGATGGAGGCATTAAGTGGGGAGAGAAGGAGGGGAAGGCAGGGAACCACACCCCCACTCCAAAGATGAGCCCAGCATTGAGCAATGAGCCCTTCTCTTAGTCTTTCTCTTCTCCGTGGGTGATGATGTGCACCAGATTCTTGTAGTCCAGGTTGCCAGTCACATCAGGGGGGAAGGCGGCGAACATCTGGTCAATCTGCAATTAACAAGCAAGAACGCTGAGGACAACAGGAGAGGAACTGGGAGGGAGGGCTGTGGGTGGGGCCAGAGCAGAGAAGCAGCTGTGGTAGATGTGGAGATGGGCCACTCAGATCCTCCTCCAAAGAAGGAACTGCTGCCCAGCTGCTGCAGAGAGTCCCCCTTCCAAAGGTTATGTCCTTCCTGGGTCAGCCCACAGCCAGGTGATCATTGTCAGGGTATAAGGGCCCAGCCATCTCGCCCAGCTCAGGACCTCCTAGAAGGGCTATTCTAGTTCCAGGGCTCCCTGGGGAATTGGCTAAGACTATCTTTGGGCCTGAATCTCATCTCAACTTCTGCTTTCCTGCCCTTCCCTTCCTTTCTCTGCCCCTCCTTCACCAGGTACTGACCCCAAGTGTTCTCCCAAATAAACATCCTGCAGGGATGTTCCTGGAAACCCAGCTTCAACAGGGGTAAAGCAAGGATTGTAAACTCGAGTTTAAGGGGCAAGGCGGGTTAGTTAAGGGAGAAAGGTGGGTTTGGTGGGGACTGTGGCTAAATGGAGATATATGGCCTATTTACTGAGGTGGCAACTGCTCAGGGCCAGCTGAATGTGGCTGTATGGGCAAGGAGGTCAGAAATCTAGATTTTTTTTTTTACATGTGATTTTCACATTTAAAATGTATTTGCTATTTATTTAAAAAAACATATTGGCTATTAATAACTAGCACTTTTACTGCCCTTATTACATGTAGCATTTTACATATATTATTAACTCGTTTAATCCTCACAACATATTATGAGATAGGTTCTATTATTATCCCTATTTTACAGTTGAGGAAGTTGAGTCATAGCAAAATTAAGGAGATTTTCCAAAGTCACAGAGCTGGTGGAAGGTGAAGGCAGATCTTTTAACTGCCTGACTTTGGGGGGAAATCCAAATAAAATTTTTAGTAAAATGTGGAACTTGATGGAAACAATCCTGAGAGCCTAAAAGGGGCTTTTTAAAATAGACTCATAATGTTCACTAATAATGCTGGCAGGACCATTTCTTGCTCATACAGAACCTTTGGCAAATTAGCAAAAGTGCTCTTTCTTCCAGACATGTTACTGCCACCTGCCAGAAATAGGTCATATATACTGATTTTTAAAAAATTATAACAATATACTTTACTGCCATCTGCTGGAAAACTATAGCAACGAACATACAGTCTATGATGACTATTATGAGACTGGCATCCCGGAGAGTTGTGCAGTGCACAACTTATACGACTGTATGTGGTGGTCCTTCATGCCATAGTAAATTGATTCTCTAACCAGGTCTCTATGCATCATGAGGAAGGCAGAACCTGGAGCCATGCAGACCTGGGTTTGAATCCAGGCTCTGGCATTTGCCATTAATGTTGTCATTTCAGCAAGTGACTTTACTTCCCTGGGCCTCTGTTTCCCCATCTATAAAATGACAATATACTAGCTTTTACTTCATAGGATGATTGAGAGAGTGAAATGAGGCAAGGGCTCAGTAAACAATTGCTGGTTCTCTCTCACTGTGGGGTCAGGGGTGGTTTAGATAAGGGGGGAAGATGGAGCCCTCTGAAGGGTGAGCCCAGGAGCTGGGGTGCAGGGAATGCCCAAAGGACCCCATTACCTCCTCCTTGGAAAACCTCTCTGCCTGTGTGGTCAGCATCTCTCGAACGCTGCAGAGAGAGAAAAGCAGGTGTTGGTGTCAGATGTGGGGGGGGGCGTGAACAGGGAACCCCCACCTCCTTCCCACAGACCCCACTCACTAATCAGCTTTCAGCACCCCTTTGCCTTCAGGGTCAAACACTTTGAACGCATTGAGAATGGTCTCCTCAGGGTCTGCCCCTGAAACAGAAAACAGGGCTTACATATGCTGTGGGTGGCTGGGAACCAGTGGCACCCCAGGAGGCAGGGCCCAAGTCCCCCCAAAGATGAAGGGGTCATAGCAAGGCTGCTTTGCTTGGAGGAAACACCCTGCCTTTGCCTGAGCACTGAGCCTTGATATTTTGAACCAGAGGGCTGAGAACATAGTTATTTCTGAGCAAACCCAAGACCAAATACAATCTAGATTTAGAAAGACCGAGATTTGAATCCTGACTCTGGCACTTGATAGCTGTACGGCCTCAGACAAGTGACTTTCTGTCTCTGAGTCTCAGTTCCACATTTGTAGACTGGGGATAAGAATTGAAACTACCTCCTAGGTGCTATTAAATGAGGTAATGCATACAATTTCTCAGCATGAGGCCTGGCTTAGGGTAAGCCTTGGAGCAATGCTAGCTGCCGTTTTTTATTCTTTTTTCCAATGATACGTTGCCTTCTTGAAACCTACCCATCTTCTGCCAATCCCTGTCTGTCCTCCTAGTGCTTTAATTCATGTCCGAAGGTAAAGACACATAGATACACACACACACTCAAAGACACACATACACACATACACAAGCTTACCCTTAAGTTTCTCCCCAAACATTGTCAGGAACACAGTAAAGTTTATTGGACCTGGAGCCTCCTTGAGCATTTCATCAATTTCTTCATTTTTCACATTCACCCGCCCTAGGACAGGAAACACACACTCAGGGACTTTAAGCTGGGAAAGAAACAACTATTAGGACACTGGCATTTGCCCCTGTAATTCCACTTCAAGGAATCTAGTCTAGGAATAATCAGAGAAGGGGTGGACAGGGCAAAGATACATGTGAGAAGATGTTCTCTACACTGATTTTTATATTAGCCAGACAGCTGGAAACAACCAAACATCCGATGTGAGGAGGAGTTAGTTATTTATAAAATAGCGTCTTCAGAACCTGGAACATTCTATAGAGATATTGTAATTTTTTACTCAAGCGAGAAATAGTCATAAATTAGGCTTCTCAGTTAGAGGTGGGACAGATAGATGAGCATCACCTGGGGGAACTTTTTCAAGTTATACTTGCTGTAACCCACAGCCTTGGAGATTCTGACATACTTTTTTTTTTTTTTTTTTTTTACTGACCGGTAACGGGATTGCAACCCTCAGTGTCGCGCCTGTACCGGGGACCAGCAACGGGATCGCAACCCTCAGTGTCGCGCCTGTACC